TTAAGACATTCGCTTCGCTAGCTTGAGAAATCCCATTTCGAGGAAGTCGCGTTTAAAGTTTTACATGAAGAAAATGTTAAAATTCTTTTAATTTATCGCTGACCAAGTAATCCAGGATCGTATATCAATCCTTTCATATCTTAGAGAAAGTTCTCTTGCATACTGTTGCCTTTTTTGCACTTTTGACCTGCTTTAACGATGTTGACGCACGATACTCGGAAGCGGCTATGTGCTTATGGTCGGAACGCTCCGCAAACATTTTTGCTGGTGGGTTTACAATTACTTGCAACATGTTCATAACTTATGACAACAACACTAACCATTGTTGAACGTACAAGTACTTAAACATCCTGCAGTTTCTGATTCTTTAGCTTCACCATAAAAATATACCTAAACTAAAACACACACAGATTTGTCAAAGCTTTTATTGTCGTTTTATTATTATCAAATTATTTTTCATACGTTCGTACAATTTCTGATGTGATTTATATAATTATTTTAGACATACCTTTAGTTTCCATTAAGAAATGTTATCATTTCCTGGTTCCACAACTTTTTCCATTTCTTTTATACAGACATTATTCAATTGTAGTAAGCTGTGATTTTAAATATATCCTAAAATTGTCAAAATTTTTAATGTTTTTTCTTATTAAACGGAATGTTAACGTACATATTTTTAAATAATTTTTTAAAGAAATTCTTCCTTAAACTCAAATTTCCATGGTTGTAAAATTTATTTTAACCATAAAAAAATATTATTAATTAATAGTAACAATAATATTATTAACTATTATTTTATTATTATTTATGAAATGTAGATTTCGATTATATAATTCCTTTCAGTTTTATGGAACACCCTCTCGAAAACATTTTTAGTCACCATAAATGAAATATTATTTCCAAACAGTTGAAAATATTATGAATAAAATTCGTTAATAACCATTGTACGGAATACATTACATAAACTTGTTACATAATTGTAATTTCCAACATTTAAGTACCGCTTATAAAACGCTCGTATTCCGAAATTTTCAGATACACGAGGATTCGCAGAGATTTTAAAGTTTAAAGCGGGCCTATGTAAAATAAATCCATCTCGAATATCCTCATTGAAGCATTATTACTTCTGAACAGTGTTTTAAATTCATAAAATGAAACTTGGATATTGCTGGATCAAATTCCTTAATAATTATTCAGAGCAACATGTGTCATCTTTTTAATAATTGCAAGAAAAAGAATTCAGGAATGGGTCATTTTGGTTAAAAGGGTTATAGTTATATTTTTTATGCAATTGTCCAAGTGTTACAATAAAAGTTCCATAAAATGTCTAAATAGCTTAGCATCGATTACGTGTCAGCTAATTTTCGACGTCGCAAACAATAGATAGAAAGTATCTAACGAAAGGAAAGGAGAAAAATATCGGCGGCAGTAACTACCAAATTGATTGGACTTTTATTTCCGAAAATCTATTCAATGACTAACGTGGTAATGCTCGGCAACGCGGTTCAACGTCGTTAAACTTTTTCATCTGCTTTTGAAACTCGAAGCTGGTGAAAGTTTTTCTACCATTTTCAACGGTCGATAGAACTACTACATAAATGTATTCCACACTCTCACTGTTACTTCTTTCCCACTTTTCTGTTTCCGTCTCTTTCTCTCTCTCTCTCTCTCTCTCTCTCTCTCTCTCTCTCTCGCGCGCGCGCGCTCGCGCCCAGTCATATATTTCTCAGAAAGTTTCCCTTGAACTGTGAAAATACTTTTCTGCCTCGCCTCGGATCATTACACTTATAAATTTCACTCTCTTCTGGCTTCTCGGCAACCGCGGACTGTTAATTATGAAATTTCCGTGCTATGACCCGCTATTTTCTGTTCGTTGGTCAAGGAGAGAATGCAACGTGAAAACTCTTTCTTCCACCGACGACGGAAGATTTTTCATTCCCACGGAAAGTTAGTGTGTATATTTCGTGACTGGACAATTTAAAGTTGAACCAATTCCGTTGTAAAACGTGGGAGACGGAAACAGCGCCACGCGAGTAGGTGAAGTGTCCACGACTGTAGAACGTCAGGGACAAATGCACGAGAATCTATTATAAAGGGCAGTTTAGGTTACAACCGAGATTCCTATGCACCGTTATATGATGTAGCTGCATGCATGTTAATATTATTGTTGACTTTTAGTTGATTTCTTGACACTTCGTTTGTGAAATGGTAAAATGGTAAAATTCCTTGTAAAGAAATTGAATCAAATTTAACCAGAAATATATAATTATGCTAAGGAGTTACTGGTAATATTATTTTTTATGTGTAATCAATTTTTTTTTATTGAGTGCAAGGAATTTTATTAAACAGTATTGAACGATGTTTTGATTTAAGAAAATTTATATTATTAAGCAAATTTTGCAAAAATTTAAAAGAATAGTAATCTCAAAAATGTAAAGAAATGTGTGATCTTGCATTAGTTTGTTAAACTATTACCTACTTCTTTTCTGTTCAATAGATCACGCTGTTTTCTCTATGTTTGCCTTCAACTGATCCAGTTGAAGATATTAAGTATTTGATAGAACTACGAGAATTTTATATGCAAACGTTTTAAAAATGTAAAATTTTTTACATATACTCGAATGCATCTTTAATGTTAGAAATTAATTTTTTTAATAATATTAATCATCGTTGAAAATTATAGCAATTTAAAATTTTGTTCTATCTAAAACTGTATTCAGAAATATTGCACACTTAGTGATTTCACTTTTAATTGGAAATTAATAAATCAATAATAATTTTATGCAATACTAACGTGATTATGATTTCGACTAGAATCGCCTTAAAAAGTAATATGGAAATTTAAAAATATTAACTTTATAGATATTAGTTCTGTAAATTCTAAGACCTCAGTGGTTTCATTAAATGGTAAACGCTCGTAATAAATTGCTAGTTTCTAATTATTCTATACACACAGCATTAATCTATTAATTGAAACATATTCTACCTACACAAATTCACATGTACCTAGCTAAAGCTGAATAATTGCAGTTAGATACAAAGTAAACTGTAATAAATGCAAACAAGGGAAATGTTTCAATGTTTTTTTAGTAAATAAAAACTGTATCAAAGGAATTGATTCTTCATTACTGTAACATGGTTATAAAAGAAAAAAGATGGGTGGTTTGCTATGTTTCAATCACGAGCGGAAATTTGATTAAATATATTTTTCAGTTAAACTATAAGGAACTCAAATTTCCATCTTTTCAATATTTGAATATTTCTGATTCTTCTATAGCGTAGATTAATTTGAATCAATATTTCCCATCAAACAGACAAAAATCTCTGTTATAAAATTCTTTAAACCACCCATTCGTAAATGTATTTCACAAAATACCATGCACACAACAAATCCTTTTTATTGTTCAAAGTATGTTCCTCCGATTTTCAAAATAAAAACATAGTGAATGGAAAGTACACATGTAACTTTTCATAATTCATTTTTAAAATAGGAATAATTAAAAACAATTGAAAGCAATCAATAATTAAAATATGTTTATATTTCGATACACATTTACTACATCATTATATAAATTTATCACCTTATTATCGAAAAAGAATCGAGTACTACTTACTTCAACAATTTGATATTATTAAATACTACAAAACACTACGATTACTATATTCTATGTCTAAGCAAAAATTAAACTTATATTCTTATATTCTTATTATAGTCCTTAAATGTAATTGCTTTCATCTCGCAATAATTGAAGTTAATTATAAGCTAATTATGTTGGATTAGTTGCATAATTCCATATAATATTCTGAAATCGTTACCACTTCTCGTAGTATAATAACGAGCATATAGCGTGATTAACTCCCATAATGGTGTTATGGCTCCTTTTCTTTCACTTCGGTAGTGCGGTGTAAAGTTCCCTCGTCGTCGTCGTTGAATATTTTGGAATGAGAGCATGAATATGGAGTACCTAAAGAGGAAACAACGGTAATTGAAAGTTACGTTTAATTAAAACTAAGAGTTGTTATTCTGGACAAATTGGCGTATTTGTTGTCCAATTAATATAAAGATTGATAGGAATGTTTCGTTCAACCCGCTAATTCCACAAAGGAAATTTTTTCAGTGAATAAAATCCCATTATCATATGATAAATATTTTAAACTCTATAATTGTCATTTCCGATACTATTTCTTTTTTAATTCCTTACTACTGTTATTAATACAATATAACATACATAAAAATATATATATAATGTAATGTAAATAGTTGATATAATGTAATAAATATTTTAAATCTTGTAATTATTTCTTTTATTACAATTTTTTATTTTTTACCCATAATTCGTAATATAAGACAGTATAATATATATTTCCATTTTTATTTAAATAATCCATGGAACAAATACATGTAGTTTTGTGGAAAGAATCAGTAATAAATATATAACAGAATAAGCGATGTAGAATTAGCAAGTTTCACCGATCTGACAGAGAAAAGATCCAATAAATCCTCTGATGGATATGAATTCATGCAGGGGACCTTAATGCCTGTTTTTATGGTTGATCGAGCGCAAGGTGAAACTCAGAGTTTGATCGAATCAAAATGAAATGATATTGACAAATGCATTTCGAAATAGTCTTACATCCAGTTAAATCCGGACCATCGATTTGTAACAAATTGAAATGCATTCTCAATTTGAAGTTAAACATTATCTTAATATTTTTTTATTGCAGTATAAATATTTCATAACAACGTAAAATAATGAATAATTTCTACTGCTTTAAGATCACAGTTATTTTGACATAACATAAGTCCAATAACTTTTAGGAAAAGTGATTGGTAAGAATATAAAATAATTGATCATTTTTATCGTTTAGAAATTGTACTTTGATTTATCATAATTTGATTGTGTCTAATTTAGACTTTGATAAAGTTATGTAATATGATTTTATTAAGAGGGAAGTAACGCCTGTTCGTCGTAAACTAATCTGTGTCTTTCATTTTCTAGGTGACAAGTACATACAGTCGGTCTCTGACAACACGTACAAGGTACACATGAATCTTACAATTCTCAGAGTAGCAGTGTCGGATTACGGAACGTACAAATGCATATCAAAAAACTCCCTCGGAGAAACGGATGGTAGCATTAGGCTTTATCGTAAGTATGTTTATTTTTGTAATAATAATTTTCAATTTTTAGTAATTATTAGCATATTGTAATACTATTAATTTACTACCATATTGAATATTGAAATTATTCCATTAAAGGATACCAGGAAAACATTAGAGTAATAATTTATTGAACTTATAAAAATAGTTTCATTGAACCGAATCGTTAATATTAGACATTGTTATACTTAATATCGATTCCTCATCTTCGAATCAAGCAATATTCAATTTGGCATGGATTATAGAATCCTTAAGTAGATTTTCGGTAAGTTATTTAATCCGCTTTAACTTTTGACTGCATGAAAAGTTTGCTTTTGACATTTTTGAAAATGCGCAAGAATATTTTCTAATGGTTGAATTATAAATCTCTAAATAAATATTAGATTCTTCAATATTCTTTACGACTTCATTGATTGTATAATTACTGAACTACTCTTTCTTTAAAATCTTTCACTTAAGAAATAATGAATTTTGCCATTTTTGTTTTTTTATATTTTATTAGGTGTACCTTGAACTATTAAAAATAGTGGTGTATAGAACATCTATATATTAAAATTCTACATTTCTCTCACTAATGAAAATACGAACATTTAAGTTTAACATAAATAATCTTGCCAATAATATTGTACATTGTACAGTTACAAATTATATGAAAATTGTATGACCTGGCAAAGATATTAAATGTTCTATATGATCTTATTTTGCTTTAAAGCACCACCAATTTTCCTATACAGTTCTCTTGTATTCTTTTGAAAATTCCATTTTGAATATTTTTTCATTCCGTTTGAAATATCTAAAATAATTTTTTCATATTTTTTAACTCAATATTTCTGCGATTTTTATCAAAATATATTTAAACATGTGTAATAATATTTAAATGGCAGGACTGAAATAACAGATTCATATCCTTCAATATTTTATTGTCTTCTAAATATTTCAAGCAACTGTTTGTAATTCCACCAGTGTATTTGGTATCATAGCTACACTAGTAGACAAATTTGTTATCAATTAGCCCTGCGCAGACGGCACTGCATGCAGCTGCAGAATATTCTGTTATTACGCGACTGTCAATTCTCCACCAATGCGAATCAAATCTCCCACTGCATAAGCAGAAATACACCCCAAATCATTATCGACCGTGCACTACATTTTAATACTGGCTTCGGATATATTTCCTTGTACGCTTTTCGTTCACGTCTCGATAAATACTAACACCTCCTGTTTCCAAAAATGCTGAACTATAATTCGTTCATCTGCAAAACCAATTTTTCAATCTTACACTTGTTAATTAGCAAACTACCGAACTTCATACAATTACACGTTCTTATAAATAAATTTAAAGTAACAAATTGTAAAATTACAGAATATCCTACTTTCTGTACTCCTACGTGAATTATTGCAATGAATTGAAACTAAAATCAAATATTATTGGTCCTTTCATTAACCCCTTGCCCTATGATCTATTTTTCAACTCTGACCGACACAATTTGTCAGTAATAGTTTATTGAAAAAAGAGAAGAATTCTATGCACATTCTACGTCTACATCTGTCTTACAATATAATAATTGATAATACAAGAATATATTTAATTTGAATTCAAAGGAATCGAGTAATATTTATGTTTGTTAAATTCTGTTTAAAATGTTTACCACGTTTATCACACGTTATTGTAAGCCAAGGGGTTAAGGTTCGTATTTTCTAACGTTTTAGAAATATTTGCACATTATAAATGCAATATAAATTACGAAGCTCCATAAGTTACTGAATACATTTTCAAGCATTTTGTCGTTTTTTCCGGTTTTTTGTTTTCCAAACAATGATCTTTTAAGAGCAGTTCTAGATCGTAAAAGAGTTCACGAACTATTGAAGCGTTAACCGACATTCCAGCAGTCTGCTGTGGATCACCCGATAACCCAATGATTGTAGTCTTGAAAACTTTTCATCGTTTTCCTATATTTTTCTAGGCGTTCCATTAAATCTCTTTATTCTATTTTCAACTACCGTCCACGAAAATCTACATTCTCTGGCATTTTTTCCTTAACTAAGCTCGTCTTGACAGTAAATAATAATGCTGCGATGTCTACCTGTTATTGACAGTTCCGTTGCTGCACTTATTACGTCAAAGAGTTTATAACCTTTACCAATAACGTTCTGCGATACACACACGCCATACATAAACCATTGGTTATCGATAATAATTTAGAGATATTGTTTGTAATGAAAATCGTAGGAAAATATTTATTTATTGAAAGTTATGATGAAAATATAATGAAAATATTTCTGGTAATAAGAAAACTATTAAATCCATTCTTTGTTCACATTTTGTAATAAACATGGAAAAATACGTTTTGACATAATAACATATTATAACATGTACGTAGCATAAAAAAATACTCATCATATTTATATTATTAACATACATTTCAACTAGAAACATATCTGACAATTCGACACAAAAAATTTTTACTCGATATTCTAGATTTTTCAAAAAATGTTTTCAAATTGAATCATTATATTCTGCGAATGTTAAACGTATTTTTCTGAAAACAATTTTTATAAATACGACATATTTTTTTTAATAGTAAATTAATATGTCACATATCACATTAATGTCTTGTAATATCAAATTCATATGACGTAACGATAAAACAAAAAGTACAATATTAAACATTTCTTATCCAGCATTTAGCACTAGGTTTACGGAACATGTCAATTTGGCGCACACTGAATTTTATAAACACAATGCATATTGTTAAATAAGCTGTCACGAATCGTAATAAAAACGACAACTCCACTCTTTAGACATAAATTTCAAACGCACCTATAACGCTCTGTCATTTCATTAGTCTTTGATGCTTTATAACCAGAGCAGATGATTTACGTTCTCAACTACTAATAATAGGATTGTAGTAATTTTGAGGTTTGTATCAGAGGTGCAGTGGGCAGAAACAGTAAGATTACTACGGAAAATAAAGAGTACGTTTATTGAGACACGGTTTAAAATACAAGATCTATTCTACGCGATGGTTCGGCTGTGACTGAGTGCAGCCAGCGATGGGACACTTAATTTATGATCCACCATTGGGCCACGTGCTTTAAGCACTTCTCAAAGAAAACAGTCCCGTGTCGCGCCAGGCGCTCGAACCAAATCTCCTATTACAAATTTGGAGAGATCGCCTTCTAGCACGACAAGGATAATAAGTAAGATAAAAATTTTCATGACGTTGGAAGTTTTTATCAACATAAACTTTAATCACAACAATGACCTGCTGCGAGATACAACTATACAAAATCAATTTTCTGCTTTTTCATATAAAATCACCATTTTTTTGGTTGTACCACGTTACTAAACACTATGTATAATAGAAAAGTTTAACTAGTAATAATTGTAATAAATTCTTTCTAAGTATTTCTAAATACGTAACAAATTGCATTAACAGAACACAACAGTCAATTTTAGATAAAAATCAAGGTGTTAAAAGTTTTAACCCTAGAATTACGTATCAGTTAAAATAACTGGTTTTAATTGTCATATTTTTCAATTACTGATCTTATAAATACCTTAAATATTTGAAATTATTTTGAAAGTTAATAGATTCACTTACCTAATGCAATGAACATCAGCGAAAATAAAAAAAAAACATATTCTTATACCTTTCATAGGAATTACATATTAATCGTGTTAAATACTCAGTAATTCTAGCGTTAAAGACGAAAATAAACAAACCAAAAGGGTGTACTTAAGTTACGAAATATTGCCACTTCCTTTGTGAAGGATCTTGTGAACTGCATATGCAAGGGGTGAACAAGGAGATAACTGAAACAAAGGATGATGTCGCATACGTACAAAACGATCATTGGAATCGACAGCATTCCTTCGATAAAAGGAACGAAAATTGAACTGCATCACAGCGTGCTTTTAATAAAAGAGTTGACGCGAGACCACCTGGTGCCTGCAGCATACGTTGCAGTTATACTAAAATGCTTGTCTCAAAATTCAGATTAAATAAGAAATAGATTTCTATTGTAATTTTAAGTTTTTAAGATACGGTTTAATTAATTTTTCGGGAACATTCGATTTGTACTTAACAATTACTAAATTAAAGCAGTATCGTTCGAAAATATTTTTTAAAGAAGGAGAAAATGCACAAGGCTCAATTTTATATACCTATTTATAAGTCAAACCTTCTATTCACTTTAGCTAGGTAAAACAGTATTGTGCAATTATATTTCAAGTTAACATTGCATTTGAAAATTGGATAGTGATGATCCAGAATTTCTTTATCAAAGGAAATATTCTGTCTTGGATGTTATTTTTAAGGAATTGTTTGTATGTTTCTTACAGAACACCATTTTTAAATACCATTTTCTACTTTTTCCTATCTCTTTATTTACTTTTTAACTTAAATTCGATGTTGTTGTATTCACTTCATATTTTGTATAAATGGGTGGACTTAAATGTTTTATCTTTTAGAAAGGAACTTGAGCTCAGGATAAGAATAAAAATAATAAAACTTTATTAATATCAATCTACAATATCTTACTAATTACAACTCTGTGTTATTTAGAATTAAATGAATTATCACAAATTGAAAGAGAGAAAACAACTTGTAGCATTTTAACTTGATAATATAGTGCCTTATATGGTAGTGTCTAATGGATTCAAATGATCCAATCTAAAATATAATGAAAGTTTTACTTAGGGTAAGTCGAAAACAGACAACCCCCTTTTTTTAAAGAATTATTACTTGACAAAACAATAGCTAAGTAGGCTTCTGTGCAAAATTCAGTATGCCACTAAAAACAATTGAAAATATGGATATTTGACAATTTAAATGAGATTGAACCATGTCACCCAGAATTACCCTATACATTTGAACATATTGTATACCGGTAACATAATCCTACGTCCTTTTAAATTCTATAGCTGAGTACCAGTAAAGTAGCATTACGTTACTTTTAATTCTTTTAGAAGAGTGCTGGTAACATAATCCTATTTACATTATTACACATTTTCAGAAGACTACTGTTCACTTAATCCTACGTTACTTCAAAATCTGTAACCAAGTATTGACAGCATAGCTCCATTACATATTTTTTATATTCATATACATTTTATTAACTGACTCTTGCAGTACTCAACTATGGACTTTGGGAAATTATTAACATACACCTCGATTTACACGATAATCCACGTGGATTCGTTTTACGTGAATAAAAATCGCGTAAGTAGAGTCTGTCGGTACAACAACAAAAGAATATTGAACAGAAAAGCTGGCATAAGTTTTAAAAATACATATTTATTTCACATAGATAAACTAAAGAAATAATAATGACATTTCAGAAAAACCAAGTTACTCACTGTCAAAAACATTTTATTCGCTGTTACTAAATTCAGATCGCGTAAATTAATCTCTTAGTCTATGATTTATTTCTGACGTATGATCCATACGACTACTTTGGTGTTAATTTATTAAAAAAGGAAACAGAAAAATTTTAGATATTTTCTACGTCTATGCTTGCTCTAAAGTATAATTATTGATAGCAGAAGAGTAATATTTAATCCAAATTCCAAAGAATTCAGTAATATTTTATCCTTGTTAGATTCACTTTAATTTTTTAGCTACTATGCGCCACTATATCATCTTTTTGAATGGTATGCCATTATAGCGGCTCAACTTTTTCTCTGTCATCGATAGCTGTGCACATTATAGTCTAATCTAACGTAATTGCACAGTGGAAAATTCTACCAGTCTGAAATCGCAATGCCACATTTATGATACACAGACCGTACCAAACCTTGCCGTACAAAGGTATAGACATAGCTTCGAGACTAGTCTCGCCGTAGCTAAAAGGTTAATTAATTTTCACTCAATTTAAAACTCTGATTTTTCCCAAACAAATCGATACTGCAAGTAAGAGTACTCGCAAAACTACTTGACGAATGCTAGCTCTCGATACAACTAACTATGCTTTCAACACACAGATCTCACAGCTACGATTCAAGAAATTCTACCGTTTATCTCTGGGTAATACAGAGGTATGTAGCTTTAAGGCTAATGCTTCCGTAGCTAAAAGGTTAAACGAAGAAATTCAGATCGCGCGTAAAAATTATCGTGTAAATGGTGTTCTAATTTACCGCGTAAAAAAAGGGACTGGCGAAAAGAAAGTCCGTGTAAATCGAAAGTCAGGTGCAGTTGTAAGCTTTTAAGTGGTTCGACAATTATTCGAAGCACGATATCAAAAAGTAATTTATCGTTTCGATAAAGTGAGCTTTTTTTATCCTCCCTGAAAATCGTATTTCCTGAAGAGTGGTGTGAGCTATGAATCACCGATAACCGCGGCTGTCCCTCTGTTTCCTGACAAAAAGAAGTCACAGCTATCTATCGGAGCGTAATTGTGGGTTTCGCGTTGCTGTGCTCACAGATTGAACTCCGTAACTTTGTGCTTTAATCAGTTACCGCGGCTCGATGGATTACCACGGTGCTACTTAAATAGTCGTACAGTTGTGGCCGCAATTTAATGCACATTTACATTTTAAACCCCACCCTAAATCAGAGGCGGGAGGTGGCTAGGTAGGTAATTGTATGGGAATGAGGATTTCACGAACTGAGTAACAAAGTTTCTAATAATTACAAGAACGTCAAAGAGATTTGCGCTCGGTATCTGTTTTCATATATAGACTGCCCAGAGATAAACAGTACAATTTCTTGAATCTCAGCTATGAGATTTGTGTTTTGAAACCACAGCCATTTGTACCGAAAGCTAACATTCATCAAGTTGTTTAGCGAGTACTCTTATTTGAAATATTGTTTTGTTTGAGAAAAATCAGGGTTTCAAATTGAACGAAAATTCATTAATACTAGAACTACCAGATGAGTCAAATTAACCCGTTTCACAATTTTTATTTTGCCCGCATTTCAATTATAAAGACACTCTTGTGAAAGATCGTTGCTCTAATGTTTGTGAAAAATTATAAATAAATTATTCCAATTATTCAGTGGTTCTAGTATTAATATAGGAATGTAATAGTTTGCTTACATCAGTAACACATTGTATACAATTATGATTATATTGAGCAACAAATCTTTATTTTTTCCATATATGCTACCATTCGTTCAAGATTCTAATAGATTTTCATATTTCAAATGTAAACCTAGAAATTATTTGCACGATAACTATAAAATGTTTTCGTTTATTTTCTCTTGGCATATTTTAACTGTTTCAATCACTTTTTCTAGATCTTTGTTACATTTTGTTAAGTTTTTTTATATCATATAACTCTTAAGTAAAAGTATACAATTATGTTAGCTCACGTCACTGTTATATTTGTACGATACGATATTTGTTATATATTATATTACCAAAAACTGAAACTGATAGAGGTAATCAGCTTCTGAATTCATGTTTGGGACGCGACATTCTACAAGATTGGAGGATCCTTTCCTCTCTGTGGATATTGCAATTCAAAATTCATATTGCACACTGTTACCAAAGAGACTTCGTTCACGTGCATAATTGAAATAGTGTTTGAGTATAATATGAAATTTATGTGACAGTGCATTTATAAACATCATTAAGCAAATTAATTTTCAAAAGTCCTTTCACTCGATTATAATGTAGGTCAATATGTCAAAGTAAATAATACGTTCGATCTTCAATGGTTATTGGCTTAGGTGATTTTCAAAGTTATTATCTCTCACGTGTTTGCACTTCATAAAAGTGCGAATGCATGATTGTGTTTATTTACTTCGAATAATTGCAAATTCACTGGGTGTTGCCCGCAATTTATAAATAAAAATAAATCGAATACGGCTTGTATGCGTTTCGTACTAAAATATCAAAACCAGTCTTGATTTATGAAACCATCGTTAACGTTTGTGCGAACAATATATGAAAAATAAATTTTCATCGGAAGGCAGCTTTGTAAATACTAGTTTCATCATTGCATTTTTTTATTCTTAAACGTTGTGAAAATACAAATATTAGTGGGGAACAAAATTCTTTAATTCTAAACAGTACTCAGATTTTTTTGATTAATTTCCTTATTAAAAAAATACTTAAGTTAGTTTTAATTCTTTATTAACTTTTTAAGAAACACTTGTCGACTATATTTACATTCGGTACACTTTATATAATCATGATTTGTAATTTATATTATTTAGAAACTGGATTATTAATTTAGAGTTTTACTAAAAGTAATATTTTTATAGAAATTCCAACACCAACAACGCAAGTGAGAACGACGACGACTACTCCACAACCTACAATTGAAGAAGGTAAATTTCTAAAAAACATTAATTAAACTAAATTCTTACATACAATATAGGTTTATTGTTTATACACAAGATTTATGTACAAAAAGTGTTTCCACAAGCATAATATTTCTTACTGTTAATACTTGTAGATTAATAGTATTTTCTATTTTTATGTAAATATTTCCCTTGACGATTATAACAGTAGATTTAATTGTACACTTGTTAAAATTGTTTGCTTATTTTTAGTTGAAAACATTCAAAACTCGCGGCAGAGACCATTGCCCAGTGCTGAACCGAGTTCCATTCAAATAACAGTTTCATCGTTACCCAATGTTGTTAGAAGCGATGGTAAGTAATTCTCAAAAGCTTAATTTTAAATACCAATATCAAAACAATAACAGTTAAATCCACTTAAGACTCATTTATCTACAATAACCTGCTGCAGTATTCTTACGAAAAAAATTACCTGAAAGAGATTTAAATTTAAAAACGTCTATAAAACTATAGAAACTTCTTATAATTGAATAAATGACACTATTATATCATTAATCGATTATTATTAATATACACATAACCTCAAAATTTTTGAACAAAAATAAGAAAGAAAGTGAAATAATGAAATCAAAAATTAAAAACAGACAAACTTTTTACTTACCTTCTTATTAACTCTTTTCTTATTTTATTTTTTATTTTACTGAAAACGTCATTGAAATTACACAAGAGAATTTATTAGAAATTGTGGTGAGTCAAATGTAACGGATATCAGGCATTAGCTTGATTGTGTAAATTTCGACAATATTCGTGACACGGTATCGACAATAGGCAAGGGAAAATTGTGCGTGCTGATTGGTCGATATATTTCCTGGAGATGGAAAGTAACGATCCGTGCCGATCGCTGAGGGGCCTCGTAGGGGTCGCGGTTTATCACAGTATTGTTTCGCGAGTCGAGAACCACCGAACATTGCATCGAAACCTGTGCACGTATTAATTGCTTCTCGCTTCCCGTTTCGCATGTAGAACAATATGCTAGTTTTACCGAGGGTAAATATTATATGCACAGAAAATGGCAGCTTTCCCTTGGGAGGACATTTAACAGAATTACACGTATCAAGCATATTGACATACTATTATTATATTTCTGGAAAATACACGTTTCGCTGTTAACCCCTGCCCTATGGTTTCTTTCACAACTGTGATAGATACAATTACTTTCTCACTGAATATTTCTTGGAAAAAGAGAGAAATTGTAGGTATATTCTGTATTCATGTTTATTCTAAGGTATAATAATTAATAATACAGGAATAATGTTTAATTAGAATTCAGGAGAATCGAGTAACAGTTTGTTAGATTCTATTTGAAATCTTCACCACGAAACCGACACGATATTATAAGGCAAGGGGTTAATGGAATCGTAATATAACTGATAAAAGCAAAATCCTTTCAATAAGTAAAAACTGTTTCTTCATTCACTTCAAAGTAACTAAATTTTTAATATATCGTTACAACTTGGAGTTACAATACGTTGACTGTCATGGTGGTCATTACTACAGTTTCTAAATTATTTGAAAGTAATTACAATAAAAAAACATAAAATTCAATACAAAAAATTTAATGAAAGAAATAAAAAGTACATATTCCTTATATTTTATTACAATATTTTAAACCTTCCTTAAACATTTTCGAAGAGATTTTCATAATTCAGGAGTTACGTGTTGTAAAGGGTTAATAACGTAGGTAACTTGATAACAGCGTAACATAAGAACTGTGGTAACAAAATCACTAATAATTAATTCTAATAACATTTGCCTTTATCATTAAAGAACAAGTAGCATTATATAAAACACTAAAAATTCTCGTGGCAGTGAACGTGTGAAACAAAAATGCATAAAACACGTTTTCCTTTGGGTAATATAAAAGCAAAGCATCGCTAAATCTCATAAAAGTGTTGTTTTATATTATCCACTCGTCGGACAAACGGAGATCTTTCCTTTTTCTCTATGTCTGTATTAAAAGTTTCAAAAGCAAATCGTCTCCTACAACTCCGATTTTTGTTTTACCTTTGACGTTGTGTATTCGAGCAACAGTTGTGGCGTTGTCGAAACAAGTTTGAATATTCAAACACGTACAACAGCGCTTACATGTTGTAGAACTTCACAATCAAAAATCGAATTAAACGTGCCCGCGCGATAGTGCGCCGGTATACTCGCATTGTTCAACGTTCCTCCAGATTATACGACGACTACGACATTTTTTTACTGTTCGCGTGTATTTTTCTCTGGGAAAGTAATACGTGCTAAAGTACAGCAAAAAGTGCAGACGCTGTGATTTTAATCCTTGAAAAAATATATCGTCGTCGCAACAGAATTACATTACGGTACAAAATGTTGACAAATGAACATCGAAAATAAAAGTATCATAAAAGTATTTAATTTGTACCTGCGTAATTAAAATGGGTTTAATTGCGACATCTTTCTACTGTAACTCTTTTACTCAGTATTGCAGACTGAATTGTATTTATGTTACATTCAAGATTGTTATTATTTTAATTAATTACGTAACAGAGAGAAATTTAAAAATTTTAACTTCGTCGTCCTTGACAAATGTAGCAGTTAGCAAGTGTCCATCATTTATTCTTCACTCAACCATGAATTCATAATTCTATTGCAACTTTTAACGCGCTTAAAACATTGATCAACTTGTCATAAGTTTTAACAAGCTATGTGTAAGGCAATGCGTACACTTTCTTCTTGCTTCTATCAATATAATAAGAAAAGCCATAAAATAACCGATGGAACAACTATAACCTTTAATTTCCTAACGTTCGGCATATAATTTAGAGGAAGATTTCAGGAGAAGATTCGTTAATTCTCTATAAGCCGAATTGTTTTTCATGATTATACGTAATATACAATCAACAAATATCAGCCTGTAAATACAAACTACTAATGTATTGAATAATTTTAATAATTGTATTAAAACGGATATACCCTGTAATTTTCAAATTACAATGACGGTGAACTTTCACACATGAGCCTATAAAAGTGCGAATTAACCCCTTGCCTTACAATAACGTGTGAGACTCGCAGTGAAGATTTTAAACAGAATTTAACAAACATAAATATTACCCAATTCTCGTGAATTCAAATGAAATATTATTCTCCTGTTATCAATTATTATACTTTGGAGCAAATGTGGATATGGAATATGCATAGAATTTTTCTCTGTTTTCAATAAATAATAAAGTTATTGTATCGATCACAGATGAGAAATAAATGATAGGGCCAGGGGTTAATTAATTACTTCATTTTATTCGCCAGTTTGCTGTGCAAAATGAAATAAATCAAGACGCCAGTATATTGGTATGTGACTTCACAGTCACACGAGCCTATAGAGGGTTAATTCGAATCTTCTGTACCTAACATCATTGCATCGTTATACACAATTCTAATGAGGTCATATTTAACAATTAATCAACCGGTAATTAAGTGTTAACACCCTGAGTTCCATAGTGATCACCGGTGACTCCCAATCAAATCGAATTATTATAGTTCACTCGATGTCACCGAATGCGGTGACATTCAGCTAGATGAACGTGCAATAATAATTTAATATTCAATTTTTTCCATTTTACGTATTTTGCTCTACGAAATCGTGCGGTATTCAACATGTTAATATATCGAGATGCTGAATCCAATTACGGAGTTTCATCGGGAAGTTTAAAACCGACGAAAAGTAGAAACGGTGGGCGTATTTTAACGTAAATACGTTATCCCGCTTAGAAATTCTGGGGAACTTCCTTTTAAATCATCGCCCGGGCGTAATGCGAGAACTTACGCACAGCGGGATGAGAAACTTTTTGAAGGGAAAGTTTAAGAGAAGGCGTGAAATTTACCCGCAAACTTTCAGCAACGTGGCACAACGCCGTAGATCTTCTCCGAGGCGACAAACGCTGCGCTCTCAACGGGATTTTGATGAAATCCCATGCGGTTTATGAACTACTACGTCGTCTCAGCTATAGAAGTAATCCGGTCCTCCGTTTGTAGAACTTTCTCGCAAGTTCTTTCTGGTATTTGCGCTCATTCCCTTTTCGATTGTTGCCTGTTGTGCCAAGTGAGCCTCAGCACCTAGGGATCCGGGTTGCTTCTGACCAGCGCGGAGCGCGTTCGTCATGTTTGCGGATCCATACTACAACAGGATATACATGGTTAATGTCTTTCATAAATGAGCGATCGCTGATTAGTCCTGTAACCGCTGATTAGAATGTCTTTGGCTTTAATAGGGCACAATGCATCACTGATATCGATACCCACCGGGGAAGGATCTCGATAATTCGACTTGGAATTTCACGGATTTTGCTGGATAATGGTGTGCTAATTAGTAATGATATAACTACGTGAATACTTGATGATCTTAGCACTTTGCGGACAAGCATTTATAAAATTTTTAAAAACTCTTCCCATAAAAGTTGAAAATGCATCGAAATCTTAAATGTCAAAAAAGAAGGAAACCATGTATCAATCTTTAGTTATTTGAACAATGAAATGATCCATTCGCATTTTTCGATTTCAGATTTGCTGCCATTACGACAGCATTCAACCGCAAAAGATTAAAGGTGTAAATAAAGATGCAAATAAAATTACTACAAATTATTTCGTCATTACTTTAAAAATCTATACTCTAGATTCTAGAGCAATAGTATAATTTCTCTAATGGTAGCTTCAATATGCATAGTCATGATTATCCGAAATGATATACGCTATTAGCATAATGAAATTATAAAACAAAAAACATTTTGGATTATTAATAATAATAATATATAATATAAATTCAATGTTCATTGAAGTCTATTATTTATTACTACCACCAACTGTCACAAAATCAAGGTTTAAATAGAAAATGTTCATAAATTCTCTTAGACATTCCTGATCCTATAAATAAATATTCTAAATTTATGAACGATCTTTGTCCATTACTCGAATACACACTAATATGAAACATAAATATTCCTATAAAAAATATGTTCCACGTACAAATTAAACGTTTCCCAATTCGACAAAACCAAGCTAGAAATTATAAAGCGTTAATCATTTTTTGCCTAGATATTCGGCTTCATGGCAGAGCGAGTAGCGGCGGTTATAACGACGCGGAAAACAATGTAGCGACAAAAGGACGAAAAAGCATCGACAGCCAAGTGAGACCACGAAGAATCGACAACACGGCGCAATCGATGTCATCCAGGGGTAGTAGCTCGAATTTTCTCGCGCAATCTAGAGCGGCCATCTGCATAATCCTACTATCTGCGTTGTCGTAGTCACGTCAGTGTCTAGCATCAAAAAGAATGGTTATTCCAGGAAAATCCTTCGGGGATCAAGATTCGTCCTGTTCATTGTCATTTATCTCATCCGCGAAAGGGATCAATTAATGGATGCGCATCGACAGAATAAATTTATCGGCAACCATTATCGTCGCAGCTGCTACGACTGAAATCAACGCGTATTTCTTTATGAATGTTGCAACAATACCGATTAATTTTCATCCGCGCCTTGCCAAATTTTCCAAACAGATTTAAATGCTTTCGCCATTCATTTGTCCAACTTATCGCGTTTTTACACGTATTTGCGGTTTCTAATTGTATTTCACATTAGTTATCTGTAACTTTGAGGAACAATGGTATCGAGTGAAATTACATCTGGAGCTAAATGGTTCGCTTTGGAAATTGTTGCCAGAAATGTTCTACGTAATTGCTCGGAGAATTTTTACTGTGATTTTATTGCTGAGTGTTATAATATTACTCGCGAGTTTTGTTCTAAAATAAATACCGCAAATGAGTTTACATAGAGTTAAAATCATATTTTCATTGAAAAAGACGTGATATGCTGATTATGTTTCAAAATTTCTAGAATGAAAATTTTTACGAATATTTGTTCATTTTACGTTACTTTAATTGGACATGAATTAAGTATTCAATTAATTTTTTACTTGGAATATTATTAAGTATTGTTGAAATGAAAATATATTTTTCAGTGAAAAGATAATTAGTCCCTTACAGGTCAACGATTTATGACATTGTTTAAAATATATTTCATTTTAAAATACTCATACAGATTATACATGTCAAATTATGTTACTTGAAGTGTTTCTAAATCTTTCCACCTTCGCAATTCCTTTCGGCAACACATGATTGAAATATTAGAGATACGTGTATTTCATAGAGCACCTTCGAAAACAATTTCCTATTGTACCATACATTTTCCACTTATATATAGTTTACGAAAAAACTGTACAAGCATGACTTTCAGATGGCCAGATAACCATTATTAAACAAAGATGTGTATTTTTGTATTTCCTCGTGTCAGATGTATTATTGTTTTAAAACAATAGCGATGTGCTTTCAACGAAAAATATTTGTTGTATATACGTATTGAAACGAAGACGGACACTTACGCGTACTCTTAAGGAAACGTTCTATCCAAAATTTTATTTTTCACATTCCAATAATAATTAAAAACCGCATAAAAACCTCCGAAGCAAATTTTCTTCTAATTATTCCCAAAGAAATAAAACTTGTGTCTGTATCGTAACATTTATTTCCGTTGCGGCGTATATAAAGAATCAAAGAAAAATCAACGCGACTCGGATAAATTGTAGTTATAATTGTGATATAATCTTCTACACATTTGAAATGCTTGCAGGAACGTAGAATAATTTCCTCCGTTTCCCAACACATTCCACTGAAACGATACTGCCAAGAAGCTGTCTACAATATTACAAAGATGTCAAAGAGAAAAAAATCATCAAGGGCGATGTAATTAACGTTCGTTTACGCTCAGAATTATTTCAAAGAATTTTTGAACTGATTATATCATGTCATTTCAGTATCGTTCGCCGTTGCAGCTTAACGGGGCAGTAGTTCCCTTTATCTGTTTCGTCCGATATTATCGATTTCTCTCCTTTCTTTCTTTGTTCGTCAAGTGAAAAGCTCTGAAATCATACGCGTCGTTAGCCAAATGAGATCCTTTCATTTCCGTCAGTTCTACAAGCGGAAATGATAGAACTCTTTACCGGTGCACTTTTGTTCGATTGTTTCACGGAACGTTTCTTAATACTTGTAATTATCAAAGATGAAGATCGCTTTTTGTTTCATGTTTCATTTTCTTTAGCTTTATAATGACTGGGTAATAACATTTATTTAAAAGGGCTGAAGCTTCGTCAGCGGAAGAGATTAGCTCTTAAATTAATGGTTGCTCTAACTATTACACGCTACTTAACCCTTTGCGGTACAATGTGTGTTACGTCTTTGACTCTCGTACACTTTTCTCTGTATGTTATTTGGATTTTACTTTCCTTTTCCATTTTAACGGTTGAAACTCGTTTTCTGTGTGTATGTACAGAGAGGGGATGCGGTCGGATGGATTAAACCAACAAAAGATGATTGTGAGTGTGAAAATAAATTGTATATGCAAAATAAAATATCATATTTTTATGAAACTTTGATAAAGGGTAATTCTTAGAAGCATTATTGATATGTATTTTTTTATACGTACATTATATAATTTTATTAATTCAATTCAGAACATATTTGAATTTTCAAATTCCATTGGAAACATATTTAATTGAATATTTTGAAAATTGTTGCATTTAAAAAAGTTTGAATGACACACGTCCGTCATGGTATAATTAATTAAAGTTTAGTGGAAATTAAATAAATAAATGTTTCGGCAACCTCTTGCAGTGCAAGAATTACAATTCCATATTATCCATGTTTTGTATTTAGATATATATTCCTGTTCAAAAATTTATATAAGATGGATTAATATTTGGCAGGAAAAATTAACAAGGAGTGCACAACTGAATTAATTATTAAAAAATACATAACATGATTTTACAATTTACAGCATTGTTCTAACTTTAATAGTTTTTTAAATATTGTACTAAATATATTTCACACACTTAACCTTGGTAATTAAACAAAAAAGATACATATTAAATATATTTGCAAGAACAAATGTTTACTAAAACAGGATTAACATCTATCAATGTCACTTCGATATATTCTTTTACTACATACATGAAAATTGAAACATCGATAACACAGAGAAGCAAAATAATGCTTAAGTAAAATATATGTATCTTACAAATTTGTAAAATAATTTTCAAAAGATTCATTTTACTGAAACAAATGTTATTATACACATTTTACTTCAAAATCACGTATTTGTGTGGTCATAAAAGCCATCTGCCCTTTCCCTTACTACCACAACTGTATAATACAACTTTAATATCATAAAAACTACTATGCAATATCTAAAATGTTTGCTGATTACGACGAAACGCATTGATGCTTCTATTTGCATATAGAACCGTAAACGGTTCGTACGGTTGAACACTTGTGTATATTATTTTCCGCGCTCAGTGATATACTTATCGTTTACACTAATAGTCCAGTCAGTTATTACATATTCGGCCTAATTAAGCTAGTATAACGTCGTATGCAACGCAAATGCATATACCACACAATCTATAATTACTCTGTAGAATTCCGTAGATTTTAATGAAAAGAAAACTAAACGCATCGTTTTCGTATTTCTATTCGTAGGCGCGCAACACACGTGTTAACGAAACAAGGTTTTACGTAATGTACCGTGTGGGTGTGTTGCGTGTGATTGCATCAGCAAGAATGTTACACATTAGAATAGGCTCTTCTGTTCCGTGTCCGAATGGTTCAACTGAATGAAACGAAGAAAATTGTGACCGATGCATTTGTATGCACTGAGAATTACGTATAAAACCGAAGATTGAACATTTGAATATATTTGTAAATATCATAGGAGTATGACAACTTAAAAGTATTATAATATGTCTGACCTAATCAAACGAGTAAGAATAAGTTTGTACATAACATACTAACTTGCGATTGTGCATAGAATAAAAATAATTCCATTTGGATATGTCGTGTTGCATTTGCTGTACATACACTATATATGTACATACATGTTAAGAACATTTTTTATTTAAATGAACACATTGTGTAATTCACACTTATATTGTAATTGGTCTAATCTGTTCCTTCATTTATTCGTATCAGCATTCTTTTAATTGTGAAGGACCGTATCGTCCATTTATTTTCATTATCTGTTTGAGGTGAAAAACTTTGAAAGTTTAAATGAATTATTGAAATATTTATTCTATGCAAACTAAACTACAGGGTGATTCGTCTAATTCGATGAATCAAAATTACGTAAAGATTTCTCGTTCTACATAAAAGTGTATGTGACAAATCTATTTTATTTGAGGGGGCACATTTTGCACGTAAAGTATAAACAGTGTAAAAAGAATAATTATTTTAACGTCCATACCTCTTGATATAGCACAATTTGTGCTGCATACACTTTTTTATGTAACTAACAGTTTAAAGTAATTTTATGTCCTCAAGTTAGCTAAATCAGCCTGTAAAATTGTCGATGCAGTAAATTCTCAATTATTCGGTCTTGTTTCAGTTAATCATATTTTCGTCGAAATTCTTTTTCTTGAATCTAATTTCTAGCGTCCATATTAAGATGAAGTTTAGTGCATTTAATGTAACGAAACAGAATTGTTTTTAAATTTACATTACCTACTTTTACTCGAAGTAAATATTTAACTAACACATATACGCAACACGTGTGTATATATAATTTTTCAAATTAAATTCACCTTATTTAATACAATTTAATTTAATGTAATTTCTTCAATGAGCACCATAAGTGAGAACGGACCGATTAATCGTGAATTTATTGTATTTAAATTGTAAATATTAATCATCGACGGATACTGCACGTTCATTTATTAAAACCGTGCATTGTAAAATGTTTTAATAATTAAAATCGTCAACGACAAATGGAGATATTTAAATCGCAATGATAGATATTTCGATGAGAATTAATTGTTTACTTGTCAAATTTTTATAATATATAGATTCTTTATTTGTCTCACAAATTTGTTTAGAAAATATTATTTTGCAAATTAGTAAAGTAACTGTAAGTAATGCAATAAGTAACAAGTAAAAACAAAATTGACTTGTACACTTTTTATTTAGAAAAAGGTAAAAATAAATTTTCGAAATTTTGGGTGAACAATTTAAAAAACTAATTTTTCATTTGCATTTCTCTTTTGTGAAGTGTCTATCTTCTCAACATTTTTTCGATACTTCAATCCCTGATTAATGATCTATTTATCGTTGTCGAAATACATTGTAAAATCTGTATATAAGAAAATAGACACAATTGAATTTATAATGTATTTACAGCAGATTAGTTTTAGCAGCGTGGTAAATCTGAATGTAGGAAAAAGTATCTGATTGAGCTTACTACAGCTTTTTAGGTATGCAACTTTTGACATTAAATTGTTTTCCGCTTCTATTAATCTGAAATACATCAATGAAATATTGTTCAATCTAAAATTCAAATAAAAAACAATTGAAAGGCAAACATTATGAAAAGTTATGTTCTCTAACAATTTACAATAAGGATATATAAATCGCGCAAAATAAAAATGGATTCTAAGAAAAAAAATTATTTCATTCAATAAAAATATTACAAATCTGTTAGGAAAAGTCATTCGTTTTATATTTTATAGTTCAACATATTGCAGCTAAATAAAGTAAGAGAGAATCAGTAAGTTGTTTAATATCGTTAACATCGTTCAAACGTTCCTTTAACGAAGTTTCGATAAACAGAATTAGTAAGAAGATATTAATGTCACTTGTTGTATTTTTGAAGGATTGTAAAACGAATTTAAACAAAAATTAATGTAAAAATTATCTTCCCGCTGTAGATCTAGGTTGAATGAAATACTGATTGAAAGCGAGTGATCAACCCAATATATGTAAATGAAGCGTTTTGCATGTATGGTAAAACATTTCTCAGAAATGTTCGTGTATTAACAATAGGACATCAATTTTGTATTGATTTTATGGGATTTTTGTAAATAACTGAATATGTAAAAAGTTATGTATTTATATATTTCAAAATTAACAAGGCTATGTAACTTTTGTTATTGGAGAGTATATAATATCTACTTTTCAAATATTATTTCAATTAATACATGTTTTTTTAACATGTCATTTGTTCAATTTTGTATGAATACAGTTTTGTTACAGACGTGTCGTTACCATTTATAGTTCAACATAGAAAATGAAAACTCAACTGTGGAGTTTTAATGTAATTTAATTAACAAATGTATCGTAAGTAATTAAAGAAAGTACTTTGTATTGATATTTGTCATTTATTTCTTATATTTCGTGACCTGCCTGTATTTTGAAAATCAGATTTACTTTGCCGATCGTCTTGATATTTGAAAATAGCAGAGAACAATTATTCTAACTTTTAATCTACCTTAGATAATTTCTTTTTAAAAGCACTCCACAGTCATCCATCATACCATTGTACCATAAATAATGTTCTTTAAAACATATGATAGAAATACATGTAATTCATTAAGAAAAAAGGTGATATTATGCATATATTTTTATTCTATCATATTTCTATAATGTATAAATATAAGCATGATAATGCAATCAGTGTCAAAATCGATGGAAAGAATACTTTACTTAAATATTTTTAAGTAATTTATTCCTTTGAAGCATTGCAAATAGCACTTCCGAATATACTGAAACCAAATGTATGTGTACGTATGTAAACATCAACTTCAAATTGTCCAATACCACCTCTAGAAGGTTGTATTAAATTATAAAATGTTAAGATATTCAAATTGAAAGATCGAACACTTTGCCAACTTTTGTGGTAAAAGACGGCTATTGCTTTACCAACTTAGGAATCGTGGAGCGATCAGAGCGCCCTCTTCTAACGAACGCCTGCACAAGCTTAACATTCGCATTGCAATATTCCCACTCAGCCAATAAGAAAGGAATTTCTTATACTCATTGTTCTCTGATACAAAAAATTAATTTATTTGTTTCACATGATACAATTGCTAATTTCACGCTTTGACATTCCTTTGAAGTTTCATTTCTATTACTTCCCAAATTTTACGAAATGAATCAGAAAGTCAGTGCCGATATTTTGGGGTACCATTATAATTTCCATAACATTTTTAATGTTACCAACAGAATATGAATAAGTAAAAAGTCCGTTTTAATTCTTTTATTTAAATATTACATTTTTCTATTTTTGTATAATTGTTTGATCAAAATGTGAATCTGAATAAGAAATTAATAAAACATAATAGAATAAGAATCAAACATATTAAAAGCTCTTTTAAGACGGAGAATGAGTCAGTTTTTTAGAAGGGTAGTAAGACGTTTTTATTAAGATTTGTTTTTCGTTTAGGTAGTGTATGGTAAAAATTATTTAATTGCTTTTATAAGAGTAATGCACAGAGCAAAAATACTACTTCATTTCATTTTCAGTTTACCGAAAACAGTAATGAATTCAATATAATTCATCGTAACAAAATTTAATTAGATTTATTTATTATAATAAACAAAAGTTAGTTGTAAACATACAGAAAAACTACTCCAACTATTAAAAAATGTATTTAATACATCGTAGAGCGACCCTGTGTACTATTAAAGGAAAATCAATAATAACATAACAGTTATAACTAGACTGACGATCTTAATGCAAATTCAAATTTCTAAGAACATAATCAGAAACATATCATTGTGATAGAAAATGGTTTTGTAATAATAAAAGAAACGTTATGCTTTAAATATTTCATATACTTTTGCATGTCGTATGTATTCTGTAGAATTTTGCATTACGAAATTTCCCATAAATACATAATGATTTTTAGTCTAGTTATAACTAATCACTTTTTCTAACAGCGAGTTGTAACTATACATGCAATGCAGTGGATAGACTCGGTATTTGTTGAGAAGATATTTTGTTCTGAATGTTCATAGAGCACAATAGCTTCGAGTAAATTCACAATAGATAAATTCAGGCCATCCGGAAGTTAAGTTAGTGTTCCTTGTGCAATACGAACTGTTTTTAGAGCACTGCGGCTCTCAGCAGTTCCGACCACGACATTAGAATCACATTTGTTCGACGTAAATGGTTCTTGATCGTGGCAAATATAGTCTTTTATTTTGTTTCTATTCGTATGTATTCTCAAACAATAAATCTGATTGTTAATGCAAAAATAAAGTCAATATAATATGGAATAGGAGATTTAGACGCTGTTGTCCTCTTATTTTAATGAATGTCTTTATTAATTTAATGGAGAATCTAGTGTTTCAAAGTTATCAATAAATAATACCAATTTCTATGGTATTTATTAATATTTTTGGAATTTCAGTAATCCCAGGTGTCCTGAGGGAATCTTTGAAAACTGTTCTGTTACAACTGAAGTCCCTAAAAAATCTTCGAAACACTCAATTCATCGACATTGTCAGAACCCTTTGGAAGACATTAATTTCTACAGTTTTCAGAAGTTTTTAACATACTTACAATAGTTAATAGGAATTTATGTCATTCATGATTTTATTTCTGATTGACTTTCTAATAGAAAGAATGTTGTTATTTCCAACAAGTAACAGATAGAAGCTCGACACTTTAAATCAAATTTTATAATTTTTTAACGACTGAAACTTGCGGTAACTGGTTTCACGATTTTTTTATATCAACCGACCTTTAGTTAGAAAATTGTGGAAATATTACCAGCTGCAAATGTGTTAAAATCTTATAAATAATTTTAATAAATAAACATAATATAATAATTATAAAAATAAAATTTAATAAATAAAATTCTTAGCCTCATAACTTTATTTAACATTTATTTCTATTTATACACATGAGCATATATCGATTCCACATATTTCTTTGACAGAGTCAACAAGTATTGAAAACAAGCTAATTTTGTTAGAAATATAGTAATTACAATAAATATATTTATGGTGCGTGACTCTATAAATTGTTTGAACCTAGTTCTTTACACCGGTTAATGTATCAATACTTTCTCAGAAACAAATAATAATCATTTTTCAATTATAATATGAAATAATTATATACTACATAGGTACATAAATGCAGTTTCATCTTTGATCGGAATACGCGGCGTAGTCCTTTACCACATACTCCGTTGGTAATGTCGCAGTTGGCACAAAAATGGTAATGGGGCGTTAGCGCCCTAGAAAATGGGTCCATTATATTATAATCTTCCCATTACACAAACACAATTAAGAATTTCGTACCACTTATAAATTCAATTACTGGCAACCCAATTTTTCTTATAAACAATCCAGAACGAGTTCCCTAAACCGAGAAGAACAGTTGTACGAATTACGTTTTCCAAAGGGTGCGCGGAAGATATTTAAATTTTACGAATTTTTGGATATTGTCAATGAGATCGTCATTCACATTTATCTGTAATCTTGTTCCTACACCAGGCAGTTTTCTAAAATCTCAAGTCAAGCATGAAGGCGGGTCGACTAAATCCTCATCGCTGGACCAGCATCGTCGCAGCGGTGACTCTCATGGTTCACCATTTCCTCCTCGGATGAAGTGAAAGCCATGATCGAGGCTTGTGTAGAATGTAAAGAAGTCGATGCGAATCAAGAGAGGGAAACCGCTTTGCCGTCCAGTTACTCCAAGGCAAGCTGAAAGGAATGTCGAGCGCCGTACATCGCGACAGCAACGAATTCTGAGTATTTCTAATCATCAGTCACGCAACAACGCTGTCAACAACGTGTCAATGGTGAGTGAATCCTCTTCTTGCCTAACATGAACCTAATCGAGATCGGTCCTTCGCGCGCTATCTTTCAACCCTTAACTACCCTGGTAGAGGAAGAAATTAGGGGATAAAGCAATCCGATTGCTACCTTCATATCTAAACAAAATTAAAATAGGTTGCATGAGTGCAAAAGAGATCTGGGAGCACCATTGCATTACTTAAAATTACACCCTCTTGTGTTGTAGAGGGCAGATACTAATATAACGATGAAAATTAGCTGTACCAATTAGAGAAGTTTGATAAGAACTGCATGGTAGATGGAGAAGCAAAGGAGATTATTATGTACGACAAAACGATAATGTTAAATAAAATTAATTTGTCTAAATTGTCTGTGCGAATGACATATTTCCCCCTATAATTCTTGTGATACGGTAACGTAACATAAATTATTTGTGTATTTTTCAGTGTATATGAGAAAAAAACATTTTAATGCAGTGAAAGTTAACAGAACTGGAATGAGATTATATTGCACGATAATTATAGTAATGGTAATAACATTAATATTTAGTGTGCTGTAGTTCAAGATTTATAAACTTTAATAAATTTTAGTTTATTAACTATCACTTTGGAGCATTCTAAATTTGTGTCATTTTATCGAGTTTGAGTGACTGTGATAATTGGTGACCAACTGTTATAGATACTACCTATGTTAAGAAGAAATATAGTATGTTCGAAATTGAATACAAATTTATGAATAAATTAACAACCACCGTAAAAATACCCGTTATAACCAATGAGATCATAAAATTTCCATTGTTCGATGCAACAACATCAATACCATAATAAAAATCAAGAATGGTACCGCATGGAACAAATATGCATTCCATTAAGCGGTTTTATATAACAGTTGTGAGGTAATATCGATTAAAAGCCAATTGTTTAATAACGGGAAACGGATTATTGAAAATTAATATTGTAGATATCTTTTTCTGTTAGTAATTTACATATTAATGCTATTTACTTAAACTCACTCGCCGTAGAATTTTTAATATTTTAAATCATTGACTCATAAATATTCTCATTTTTCTGTAACCAAATTGCCAATAACTCTGTGTAAATAAAAAATGATAAGCCCGGTACTACCTTCGAACGTAATACGAAGTCCAAGAAAAGGGAAAATAAAATGACGTCATCACTTAGAAACCAAGTGATAAGATCTGAGTAAGAATTTGCAATCTTACACGTGTGAAATCATTATTTTGAAACATGACAAGTTTGAATATTTCATAAGCTTCCTATGAAAATATGCTTTTCTTAATATTTCCATAAAAATATAATTTATTAAAAACACAAAGACAATTAAAAGTAAATTATTAGAAAAATTGTCTTACTCCATATAATTGTTTAAATGAAACAATTACTTCATTCTTTAACAAGGAATAACTCTCTTAAACATGTTTATACCTTTAATTTCAATGATTTTTTCTATAGCCATAAATTTGATTTGTATTTAAATAATTGACCCATCAACGACGAAGGTACCAAAATTTAAAGCCATAAATTTCCGGCACAGAAACGGGAATTTAGTCTTATCGAGATCGCTGTATGAACAATTTTGCCTCCCGTAGTATGTGATTTCTCGTAATTCATTACCGGTTTACTTATCGCCGGATTTGAATGCGAAAATCAAGAACACGGTTACCGTGTGTAAAGTTTGTTGCCGCGGAAGGTGTATCTCCGCGACTCACCTATCTCGTTCTCTGCATCTACCTACTGTGCCCAACGAAATCCAAGTGAAAGTACGTCACTATTTGCGTGAACGTGTGTGCTGTTCGGGCAGCACGTGCTTATGTTCTTTTTTTATAATTGGGGCATCGTTTACATTGCGTTACGTTACAATACGCCTCAGCACGGTTACAAAGTGAAACCCGGGGGTCTCTGATTTAGTCGAAATTAACGTTATGGAATATTTTTTGCCAATTAACATTTCTTTTATACCGTTCACCAGAGGCAAACGAGCGAACGGTGTCTAGTTTTTACCTTCCACGGCTTCGTTTGCGAAACGTATCGACGAATTATTCATGAAATTTCTTATCCTATTTGGGCCTGCATGCAAATAAATAAGTACACAAATTTATTAAACCTATCTGCTCGGTGTGAAAGACTTATCTCAATGTTTATCTACAATTCGTACATGAGATCTGATAACTGAATTAATAATTCAATCAATTCTTCGACGAACGAAGGATGCCAAATAACGTAAATGAAGGAATTTTTCAAGGCAAAATTGTAGTGACAAATGTTTCTCGCCTGTGAGCTATGTAAACTCAGAGTTGTAATTGATTTGACCATAAAAAAACATTTGAACCGTGTTTGAAACTTAGAAAAAATGCTCATCGTTCTAGCACTTTAACTACCAACAACCTATTAATACACTTGTCAATGACTGAACTGTGTGGAAAAGAAGTTAAAATTATTCTCTTTTGCATAATAATGCTAATAAATTCTAAAAATGATTAAATTATGTTACACTAGATGACTCATTGATCCAAGATGATGATTGCTATTGAAAAATTCATTGAGAAATCCTTAGCTATTATCCGTTTATCTCTAAAAGACTATTAAGTAACTGACGGTAGATAATGTGTAAACAGCGCCGAGTTTGCAAATGAGCCATTCATTTGCTGAAGTGATTAACTCTACAAAACAAAAACTGGAGAAAATTGATACAGTAAAACAAGTTGAGACCAATTAAGTACGTTGGCAAGAAAATTTGACAGAAGTCAAAAGGTGTAGCTAATCACTTTGAATCTGTAAAAGATACAAATACGGTTTATTACCAGACTGCGAACGTTTATGCAATTTCCAGTTTTTTAAAATAAACTTCCAGTAATCGATACCAAATAGAAACTTACTACATTCACAGGAAGTTACCATTCCTTCGAAATAGTCTAAGTATTGCCGAAATTGAATTTCACTTCGTAATTTTTGTAAATTTCTAAATTTGTACATTTTTCTCAAATTTAATTCTAATTCTAAAATGCAAAAATACAATAAATACATAAACATTCACTGTTTACTTACCAAAGTATGATTTATCTTCATGTCAAGTTCATTCTCTCAAATTACTCATATATTGTCATTGTCTATCGTTAAACAAATATTTAACAAATTCTTCAACGAAGTCAAGCTTCGAAGTATAATAAACATTGAAATTTAGCAGTACACAATCAACAAGCATTATAATTACACGATAAAATCTATCAGAGAAATCGTCGAAACTAGTTTCTTGGACAAACGAAGCTTCAAACGAATGAATTCCAATTTGCACGTCCGTCGCGCCCTTACGCAAGAAAATACCTTCTTTCCGATCGCGAACCGTTTGCACACACACACATACACACACCTCGCAAGTGATTTTTCTTCTTTAGAAGTAATTTTTCCAGCACGCTTTTCAATGAAGTTTAAAAGTCGGTCACATTTAATAACGCGTGTCAATGAGAAACTGTTTCCTTTTCGTTCCGATGAAAAGTAATCCTGTTACTCCGCTCCAGCGAGTTTTCATTCGAGGGCATTGGTGATTGATCGGTAAATTGACATTCCACGGAATCGTTTGCTTTCTAAGCGACCGTGTCACGTGCGCCGCACTGCCATGCGGATATATTTGTGTATAGACACGTGCAACGTTGCACGTTTACTCGTGACCACGATCCATTTACATTTTACAAGGACTGCGTGCGAAACGTTCACTGATCTCTTTGCGAGTATTGCACTCGCGTCCCACGCAACACTGTAATTTATGTAATATAATATTTTTGCCGGTTATCGACGAGAAATGCTCATGACGATCGCCGTATAAATTATCTAATCTCGGACACCTTGTAGGCTGCTGACAGTTATTTTCGCGGTGTGTCTACGTTAAAAAATGCGGAGCCAGTCTCTAACTTGAGTGTCACGAGTCATTGGACTTGAAAAATTACTGGGACACCCACTTAAATTAGTCGGCGGGACGAACGTGTGTAATAATATTCGTTAAGTCGCTCGAGCGGCAACCTGTTTCTCGATATCTTTCTATTGCGTATGCAGAGTCAGGTGAAATGCATTCAATCTTCCGGGGAATTCGTTTTCAAATTTATACATTTATGGATGAATAATAAGCAGATGTTGTTTCATGATTGTGTTGGTAATCAAAGGGTTTGTGTTTTTTGAATTTTAGTATTATATTGTTGTTGCATATTTTTAGGAAATATTTAGAAAAATGTGAGAAATTGTGGTGAGGAGAATGGGAAAATAGATAAACAGGTGGAAGGTTGGAGTGGGTTGCTAACGTAAGGTTTAAAATCATATACCTAAATATTTGCAAAATAAAAATAAGAGAATGATAAGCGTAAAAGATCTTTTTAATTTGTAAATAACAATGGTGAGCTTGAGACTGTATCTGTACGAAGTAAATTAAAAATACTTGAAAAATACACATTAAAATTGTACAGGTTAGTAGGTCCTTAATTATTTTGGAAATACTCGATTTCCTTATGTTCAATAGGTGTAAAGTGTTTTACGTAATTCTGGCCATTAATTGATTAATAAAGTGAAAATATTGAAATGCGGCAAATTAGTAATACACAACGTGAATTAGAAATCCATTAGTGCAGAAATCGTTGAAGTTGCAATAAAACTGCAAGAATGGTCAGTAGAATATAAAAGTATAACATGGTGAAGAATTAATCAGTCTGACGTTTATGCTACTTCAAATAAATAAAGATAAGAACAGATAAGAAAATTAAGTAGCCTTGATGGATAGTGAATGATAAAAATAGTAAAAATATGTAGGTACTCCTTTTGTTAATGTACTGCAATTAATTGCTGAAATAGGAAATTATTTATTTAAGTATAGAATTAATTATCCGAAGAACAATTTAAGAAACAGTTATCACAGGTTAATAGTTAAAGAAAATTATTCATTATTGAATCGCAATATCTATTAATGAGTGCAAGTCCTAGTTCCTAAGCAATATTTAAATAAA